GCCACCCATCACAGAGCCCTCCCAGGGAGCAGGGCAGCTGCCCCATCGCATTGGATCCTTCATGCACCACAGCATCCCCTGAGCATGCAGCACCCCAGTCCTTAGGGAACCCCCAACCCATCACCAGACACTGCTGCACCCCTCACACGGGCAAGCGAGCCCTGGGAAAATCCCTTCCCTGCCAGTAGGATTTTCACAGGAACCCTCAGCCCGGTGACAGGTCCTGCCAGAGCCTGGCTACATGGTGAGGACCAAAGCACCGTGTCCCCTCTGGGCACCATCCGTGCTGGCACACCGCCCCAGCGGCTCCCCAGGGATGCTCTCACTGCCTGTGGCACCCACGAGGCCGAGCTATCCCCACCCCCCCCAACCATGGGTAACTCGCAGGGATTTTGGCGCATGCGTCGTGCCCCCTCGTAGATGCGCTGGAAGTCCCTGTAGCGGGGCGCACAGCTCAGCCAGGCTTCACCGAAATGCAGCCACCCCGTGAAGAGGAAGGTGCCAGGGCCCGGCTTGACCCCACAGCGCAGCGGGGTGCGGATGCTGCCTGCTGGCCGCCCTGGCCACTCCCCTGCCTGGAAGAGGGGGAACTTTTGGCGGTGGATGCGGGCAGCGCTCACCCCGATGACGGATTCCTGCAGCTCCACATCGTTCGAGACACTCCGAATGCTGCCACGGATCACTGCGGAGGGAAGGCAGGGAGGGGTGTCAGCATGTCCCTGTCCCCAACCCCATCCCTCTCCCCAACCCCATTCCCACCCCTGTCACTCTCCTCATCCCCATCCTTGTCCCGATCCACATTCCTGTCCCCATGCCTGTCCCCACCATTGTCCCCATCCCACACTGGCCTCTGTGACACTCCTGAACACAGCCCAAGCCATGCCAGCCTAGGAAAAGAAGGCCAGGGCTGCCTGCGGGGCTGTTGCACCTCCAGTTTGAGTTTCCTCCCCCCTCCCCAGGGCCCCAGGGGGCCTGCACTCACCAAAGTCACTAGTGCAAATGGCCATCAGGATCTCAGTGTCGTTGCATGGCCGGCATGCCCCTGCAACAACCAAGTATAGCCCATCACCACCTATCACTGTGGTGGCTCCCAATGGCTCCCAGTGCCCAGCCATGGTGGCGGGGGCCACCCTGGATCTGGCCCCTCCATATTCTCACCACCCTGCAGACCAGGGACACCGCAGCAAGGGAGATAGTGTCAGCCAAGGGGAAACTGAGACAGTCTGGAATGCTCAGCACTCACCTTCTCCAGCGAGGCTGGCAGCGGGCAGACCCGGGTGCAGCCTCCCCGCAGCTCATAGCGAAAGGCGGCGATGCGGCGGCTGATGTCGCGGTGCGGAGTGGCCTGCAGGAAGAGAGCTACCTTCTCCCAGGGCAGCCAGCTGAAGCAGCGGACACGGGGCCGGGGGGCCTCTGGCAGCAGCAGCTCCAGCCCCCCCTCCCTCTCCAGGTAGAGCTGAGCCCCTCGGAAGCTCCCAGTGGGTTTGACGCAGGCAGTGATGTGCTGGAGGTTCCTGTCCTTGGTGGCAGCAGTGATGGGGGGGAGGCGGGGCCAGGCGGGGGCGAAGGCCCCCCGTGGGGTACAGCCACTCCAGCGAGCCCTCAGCACAGTGCAGGGAGAGCTGCTCCACGCTGCCTGCCTCCTGTGACAGCCCGCTGCAAGGCACAGTACCCACCGTCAGTCAGGATGCCCCCCAGGGGGCAGGGACATCCCCCCCAGCCCATGTTCCCGCAGCACTGCAGCACCCCAAGCAACAACTCTGCAGGGGTGTGTGGGGTGAATTTGGGGAGGAATAGCATCAAACCCTCGATGCCTCAGACTTGGGGTGTGAGTGCATCATTTGAGGGATGCTTGTGTTTGTGGCACCCTCTTAGGGATGCTCAGGCAGGGCCGCCTTAGTTGGTCAGCTCCC